ATTATTTATAATCGTTAATCATAATCTCTTTTTCTTATTGATTTAATTTGTTATTTACCATCAGATAAACTATGCTGACTGTTTATAAACATAATTCAATAGTTAGAAGAAGAGAAAATTTTTTGTTGTTTTATTTTGTTTGAAACATGTATGGAGGAAAAATGCTTACTCATCCGTCTATTGTTCTTTAAATAACCATACTATAGAAATCAGCTTTAGTTAGAGAAGCGTAAATATACCAACCATCTTGTCTGATAGTAAGTTAATGTGATAAATTTTGCTTTTTCCCTTCTTTCTCTTGTTTACTATATACTAATTGATTTGAGAGATACTTGATCGTGTATTGAGAAAAAAGAAGAAGATATTTACCGCAAGATTTTATAAATAATAAACTTTTTTTTTTCACCATCTTATAAATAATTAAATAAAAAGCTTGACGTCTGTTTTGTTTCTTGAACATCAATTGTCTGTTGCCAAGTTTTTCGCAATACATTGGTTTTGATTACATTTTCAACCACCACTTCACACATCACATCATACACACGTATAAATTTCAATTTCTTCTTAATATTCACTTTTATTTTTATTGCAAAAAGATTCAAGGAAGAAAAGAACAATAGACGAGTATACATTTAAGTCTCGATCAACAACAGGTATTTGTGTTTAAAACTATTTATTAATAACACTTTAGATTTATGACTAATTGTCCGGTAGAGGCTAAGTTCGAATCAGTTCCAATCCGCTCTTCAGCTAAAAATTTTCATTCCCAGTTCAGTCCCAGTTTAAGTAAGCTTTAAGTCTACTGTTAGTTCTAGCATACATTGTTTTTCATTTCCATTCTTTTTCTTCTATTTTTTCATCAGAAAGTCATTGCTGTTTTCGTTTTTGGTTACAATAATCATTTAAAGAAACAAAGTTTTTTGTGAATGTTAGAAATTAAGAACAAGACCGGACTTTTTGTTTCATTTTTTTATACGAAAGTGAAAAGAAACGCCTAATTCATAAGAAAAGTCACACTTGAATAAAGTAAGACATGGGAGAAGATTTTTCTTGTCATTCTTGACCGATGTGGACATGTAAGAAAACCGGACTGAGAGAACACTCTTCTGAAGTACTGGGCACACATAGTATCTTTGTTGTTAGTGTGTTCAGTATCGGGTACAGAGAAGATTTATTGAAAATTAAACTACTGTCTGTATCTTCTTCTTTCAAATAACGCACAATTTCCTCAGCAATATCATTGTCCGGTATTGCTATAGAACTTTTTTGTTTTTTTAGGTAGATGAGCATGTAGTGCCCAGAAATAAATAAATCAACAAAAAAAAAAAACACAGTCATCTTTTGATCACAGCTCATCTTAACCGGCCGCGCGGTAATATCAAAGAGATAAAAGAGTGAACAGATTTGAACTGAAAAGTTCAGTCACAACTTTGAAAAAAAATGAGTCCAAGTCTAGTCCAATACTCTTATGTCTTCAGTCACAGTCCGTGTGAAAAAACTTATCAGTCTGGAACTGGACTTGAATTCTAAAATCAACAGAAATATTATGAAAAAAAAATATGATAATAATAAACATCAACTGTCATTTTGCCTGAATTTAAGAGAATCATTCGTATCTCTCTACTAATTTTTTCTATCGTAATTTAGTCTACGAGAGTCAATGATATTGGAATGTGCAAAAGGTGTTCATGTATTATGACCTTGTGTTCAGTTTTCAAACAGTTGTAAAAACAGTAATAGATAATTTTAAGGTCAAGCGAACAGAAACGTAATGGTTTCATTTTTCATATTTATTGTTTTCTTCTTAAAATCGGTCTACTACATCAATAATCTATATGTACGAGATAATACGAAAATGATATAGGAAAACGAACAGAAAAATAAAAAATTAAAATTAAAATACTAAAATAATTCTAATAAAACTAAATGATGATTGATTGATACAAGTTTTTAATAAAGATCTTTTCTGTCTTCTGATTCTTTTGACTGTCATCATATATCATCACAGACCTTCAGATAACGATCTTTTGCTTCTCTATTAATAAAATTATTAGACTAAAGATCATTTTGAGCGTTTCTTGTTCACATCAACATTTCAAGAAAGATTAAAGACAAAAAAAATATAATATTTCTCTGAGTTTTCATATATGTGCTTTTTAAGCATTTTTCTTACATGATTCAAAAAAAAAGCTAATCTCGCCTATACAATATGATTGTTTTTATATAAAATCGTAATTATTTAAAGAAATTACTGTATTTGAACAATAATAGTAGAAAGTTTTTTGAACACTCTAATTTGACGATATTTTATACATTAAAACAGACCACATAGGGCTAATAAGGTAGAGAGTTCTTGAACCTACATTGTATATTAACGATTATATAGACATGTACGTGTGTTATGCATATTTTTATAAATAAAAAATCAAAACAGAATGTGAACGTGATCTAAACAAAATATTATTTGATTAATTACATAATCAATTGACTCTACGATTGTGAATATTTATAATATTATTTCCTTATGGTTATATTCAGAAATACCATCAGTTCCGAATAAAAAAATTTTTTTTTACGATCTAAAGTTTATCTACATATATTTTGTGTGTGTTATGTTGATCAAATTAACCCCACAGGCTTAATTTAACTATTCGTTGTAATGATGGTGATGATGATTGTTGTTATTATTATTATGAATATATAATCCAACAACACCTGTACCTCAGGGCAAATAGCAAAGTATTATATTTTGTTTTTCTTTGTACATCTAACAATGTACATATAACAGTATGTTACTCTTTTCATGATAGTAACAGTTGTTGATAGAGATATGTCAAAACATGACAGCTGAACATATGATTATGAGTATACAGATCATCATTTCTGTATTAGATTGAACCTTAAAAGTCACTTCTTCTCTTCATGTTTAAAGATGTAATTGAGTAATGGTTAAATAAAATAAAAAAAATGTCTTTTTTTTTCTCTTCTTTCTTTTCCATGGCTTTTTAACCACAAATCTCTACTAGAGAAGAATTTTTATAGAGAGTTTCCAGCTGATAAATTTTCTCCCGTCTTTCAATTCTTTTTCTTTTGTCTTATGAAATATAAAGAAACTCAATAAATAGATCAATTTACATATTCTATTCGATGATGTTACACAGACTTCATTTCTTCCAAATGGAGACGCTTTTATTGGTTGAGAATGAGAAAAAAGTCATATTTTCAGAATATTTCATTTTCATCGCTGTTTTCGTGAACCATCTTTAGAATGTTCTGAAAAAAGTTGTCGTCTGATTGAACCACTGAACCAATATGTTAACTAAGAGATGTTGTATTTACTTGAGTTAAATTTTGTTTTTTTCTCGTAAAGTCATTAAATTCTCAATACGATTCATTTCACAGATTGCTAGAAGATGTTTATATCCAACCGTTTAACCTTGGCGAAAATTAGCTACAATAAGCGGTCGCAGTTTGTACACGTAAACGTATTGAATATTTGCGTTTAAGCCTTTTTTGAACCCATCGGACATGTTAATGTTCAGCACTAAAAATTTTTGTCTATACTCATGGGTAAATAGGTATAACCGCAGCTATCTTTCATTTTTCTCTGGTATAAAGAAAAGATCCTCAAACATCCATCCTTGTCTTAGAGGAAGCTGTTAGCCATATATAGAGAATATTAGAAAAATGTATAAGATTGTCTTCTCTTTTTATGAAAGACGGAGAAAAAATGTTTCTATGTAATCTGTTGCGTCGACCTTGTTTAAATAGAGAGAAATTTGAGTCCGTACATTTTATAAAACAAAGATAAACAACTGGCTCTAATGACGGATCTAATTTGTCAATAAATTCAGGTGTTATTTCATGTATACACAACAATCATAAAACTTCTATCTACTACTAACTGTATTATGAAACTATTAAATCAATACTCAATGATTTTAATTTTTTTCCATTTATTCTTGTAGTAAAAACAAGATACTGCCATTAAACTACAAGTTACAATAAATTACTAATTGTTTCACCTTTCTTTTTTTATTACTTCAGACAACATCAGTTTCCATTAATATTTAGTCATGTTTGTAAATCTAATGTACGATCTTTGATTTAAATAGTGTTAAAATCTTGTAATAAGTTAGAAATTTCCATTAAGAGAGTTGATGGAGGAACACGTACAATGGTTAAAGTAGCTTATGCTTCATTAATATTACTACCATGTTCAATTAACAACTGTTGTTAAGAGTCGAATACACTTTTTCTCTTTTATTTATATTTTTTTAACTATTTTTCCTAATTTTTATTATTTAAATATTTCAAAAAACTAACTTTCTTTTCAAATAAAAACCGTATTTATAGTAATAAAACAGTGAAATCAACAAGAATAACAATTTATATTTGTATTCAATTAAATGATATACAAATAGTATCTAGAAAGATAAAGTCTTTAGTAGAAAATATCTACGTCACATTATCTACAGAAAATTTTATCGAATAACCTATATAGTCTAAATCGTTTAAAAAATGTTTTCGATCAGTTAAATTATTTTTCATTTTTTCATTCTTAAATATAAAACCGTAGAAGAGACAGTAAAAGTTTGCTATTGATATCGGACAAGTTAAAAAAATAAACGAATGGGAAATTGAATTTAACATCTATTTTTGTAATAATAATAAAAAAAAGATGCATAAGAATTTCACTTATAGGTTAAACACAAACCTAAAAAGTTATGTGAAAACTTGAGTAATCGGTTAATTGATTTTAACTTGTTATTTGAGTTTGAATATGCACTCTATATGCAATTTTTTGTTGTCAACGAGACCATACACAAATTGAATTTTGTATATAAAGTACAACAAGTAAAAAGCATCCTATTTATATTATTGTTTGATACACTCCAGAAGATAAAAGAAATTTTAAAATTTTATTTTTTTTTTTTAAATTTTAGCAATCAAATTTTGATTCATCCTCAGCACTCCCATCAACAAGAACGATAAAAAAGATGCCATCTGAATCTCCCATACCGGACATAAGTAATACACGTAGTATTCGAGTTGACACAAATGCTCAACTGGTACCACCCGATGATTCTTTATGGTCCACGAGTGAATTACGTAAAACACCAACATCACGTCAAAAACAAAATGATTCAGTAAGTTATTTATCGTCGCCACAATCGTCATTTTTTAATACTTCAACATCATCGAATGCTCAAGTAACAGATACTTTACGGGTTCAACATCAACGGGAAAAACAAGAATTAAGTGAATTAAATGATCGTTTTCGTGGCTATTTAGATCGTGTTAAAGTTTTAGAAAATAAAAATGCAAAAATAGCAAAACAATTAGATGGTGTAACAAAATCATGGGGTCAACAATCACAACAAATTTTACAAACAGACGGACCATTATTAGATCGTTTACGAGATGATGTTAATGTTAATATGTTAGGTGAAGCCGATTGGCAAACACGTTTAAGACGTTCACACTATACAATCGATAATTATAGACAATTAATTAATCATGAAACACAATGGAATGATAAACAAGAAGGTAAACATTTTTTAATTTGATTGTTTGTTTATTTTTTGCCATATATATTCATAGATAATATAATATATTTTTCTTTCTTTCTTTTATATTTAGCTAAACGTGTATCATTGAAAATTGAATATGATAATTCGTGTATAGAATTAGCTAATTTACAAAAATCTTATAAACAAGTTGAAGAACAATTAAAAAATTTACTAAAACAACGTGAAGATTTATTACAAGATATTGAAAAATTAAATGAACAATCATATAAAACAACAATGGATCGAATTAAATTAGATTTACAAGTTCAAACATTAAGAGAAGAAATACCATTTTTAAGCGATATACATGCACATTTGATTAGGTTAGTGATTTAATTAGGATCTAAGACTAGATGTCAATTATCCTTCGGAAAGATTAGAAAGTTAACTGAGTAAAACAGTAAACAGATATAAATTAGAATATCCAGAAAGTTATAACTACCGAGACAGTGTCGAAGAATCGTCTACGGTATGTTATTCATACTGATATATCAGTTGATTCATTATCGTGTTATTATAGTTTTTATCATATCAAGCACTATAGTATATATTCACTATGAAGTGAATCACGTGACGATTAATTATCTCATAGGAAAAACGATAGAATTGTCTCAAAAATATACTCATTTTGTGGCACTAATTATAGAATAACTAAAGCAAATATCCGAAAACTAACTTCAGATGCACTACACTTTTGAATGATCTTTTCCCGTAATGTGTATGATCAGAGATAACTAAGAACGAGTGTCAGACTCGAACGCGAAAACACAGTGGGAAATGAAAGAAAGAAGAACTTTTCTAGGTGAAAAGCAATAAGTCTCGTTGAGTTTCACTCAGTTGACTTAAATACTCCCATTCTTCAATGATTATCTATAGAGTGAAAATGAAAGCCCTGCTAATGTACTATCGACTTAGACTAAAAATGTATTATTGAAACATTTTATCTCTATCATCATCGTATATTCTGCAAATTTAGAAGAAAGAAGTTAAGTGATAATTAACGAAACTAAATTTTATCATAGTTAGCCTATGAAAAAATTTAAGTAGTATTCACGGCGTGTACATGCGTGAATATCATGAAATGGTATACGAATACGTGTGAAAAAATAAAAGACACTTGTGAATACGTTTACAATTATGAAAAGTTCACGCATGACCGTGTGTTTGACGTTGCAACTGTATGACTTCGATGCCATGATATTTTTTTGATAAAATTTCCTCATGGAGAACGGTTAATTTAGCAGAACTGTTATGATAGAGTTTTTGATTAACGAATAATTCTTTCAACTATTCTATTTTCAATAATCAGCTGATTCACTCATTATTCACTATTCATTACAGAGAAAATATCCTTAATCATTGACATTTTCGAGAAAAGTTTTTTAGTCTTCTTCCTATGAGTAAAGAAAGTCGTTGAAAGTGAGTTATTAAGAGCTATTTAATTACTTAGTTTCACAGTTACAATATAATAATTATTTTTATTCTAGTGAATTTGATCAATTAAAACCGTCAAATGGTATGGATACTCAACAGTTTTATCGTCAAGAATTAGAAAAAGCCATTTATGATATTCGTCGTGATTTTGAAGCATTACACGGTGCTCAACGTAAAGAAATGGAAGAATATTATAATGTTAAAATTGAAGAAATGCAAAATGATTATAAAAAACTTGTTCCATCACAACAACATAAAGATGATTTATCAAAAACAACTGAACATATAAAATCAACAAAACTCGATATTAGTGATGCATTAAAAATATTAACAAATGAAAAAGAAAAATATAAAGATTTACAAGATGAATATACAAAATTAGAAGAAGAATTAAATTATGCTAGAGAAAAACGTTTGGATTCAAATAGTATCATAAATAAAGAATTACAATTATCACAAGATAAAATACAACAATTGACACTAGAAATTGATACAATATTAAGAAGTAACATTACGTTACAATCAGAAATTAATGTTTATAGACGACTTTTAGATAGTGAAACAAATCGTTTACAACAACAACCGGTTGAACCACCGACACCAGAACCTTCACCAGCATTTGGCTCTGAATTAGGCAAAGTATTTAATAGAAAAATTAAAAAAGGACCAATTGCTATAAGTAAGTACAATTGATTATGTTAATAATGATCAGTTAGAAAATTTTTAATTGTTTAAATTTGTAGAAGATTGCGCTCCAGATGGAAAATTTATTGTATTAGAAAATGGTTCTAGTGAAAAAGATGTTGATGTATCAAACTGGACAATTCGACGACGTGTTGATGGTGGTATAGATATGCAATATGTTATACCATATGGTGTAATAATAAAACATGGTAAAGAATTAAAAATTTATGCAAAAAATGCACAAGGTTACAATCATCCACCATACGAAATTGTTAATGATAAATTAGATTCATGGGGTATGGGTAGTGATATTGAAACAAAATTATATAATGAACAAAGTGAAGAAAGAGCATCACATACACAAAAAATCGTATTTGGATCGGATACATCAAGAGATTTATCATAGTAAGTAAATTATTTTCTTTTAAAAAATATTCGCATTTTCATTGCGCTAATTTTATTTTCAATGATAACAGATTTTCACGCATGTATTATCTATTTTGCAATTTTAATAATGACAGTAAGAAGGTAAAAACTATATAAATTCGAAAATATTTTTATAAACTACTCACGTTAAATTAAAATCACCCTATCGAAATAAAACAGTGTTGAAAGCTATGTATATACTCGATTATTTTTACTCTAATTTCTGCAGTAAATAGATGCTCCAGAGTAATGTTTCTATATTCAACAAAAACACCACCTTTTTCAATTTCAGATATGATATTAAAGATTACATCTAGTCAATATGTTTCTAGAGAGATGATTTTTAGAAGAATTTTTCAACAGATCCGTGAGGAAGAGAAGCATAGGCGTCAGAAATCTCATAACAAGATTTGGAAAAATTAAGTTGTAAAATATCATCTAGCAATGACTCTGATACGTCCTCATCCATCGAAAATTATATTAGACTAATCGAGAAATTTTAAAAGTTTGTATACTGAAAACCAATTTTTGGATTAGTACAGTCAAAAAGTTTCATGAGATGTTTGATTTCTGTTCATAAATTATTGAGTAAAGCAATAGAAAGAATCTTCTCAGAAGTACATCGATCCCAAAATTTCTTGCACACTGGACAATTGCCAATGAAGAGTCCGAATCTACAGTCGGATTTACATGAACAAGCTTTTAAAATTTCTCATAGGTACAGATCTGCACTTTTATTGTTAAAATTTCTTTGATGTATCACTTTACTGTAGAAATATTTGTCATTTAGTAATTGAAGTGTTGATTTACATGATTGTTGAGATTAAAAAACATTTTCAATGAAAATTTTTAGAATACCTTATGACGACAAAATGAGAATGAAATAATTTGGAAAAACATAGAAAAAAAATGTTAACTTTACTGAGAGAAAACAGAATAAAACATTCGATAATTTCTTACACATCTTTCATTTAGCAACATATGGAATGAAAATGAATTTAAGAGAAAATAATTTTCTTGTAAGTTCAATTCCATAATGATTATCAAGAATATTTATATTTATTATATCAAACTTTGTCATATAAATGTGCTTCTTCTTTGGTTTTTTCACATGTATTCTGTTGTTAAACTTAAAACTGGAAATTATAAAGCGTTTGGGCTTCGTGTTTTGTGCATGACTTTTGAGTAAAAATTGAAAAGAAACAAATTTCATCGGCACAAGATACTACTAAGAGTCATATAAATAGCTAACAGTCTCACACAACAAGAAGAACATCTTTGTTGCATGATGTTTCAATCACAGTATTTACCAAATTAAAACGTTCATAAAAAAAAAATTCAAATAGTTGATAATAATCTATTAAGGGGGGGGGGGGGGGGGGGGGGGGGGGGGGGGGGGGGGGGGGGGGGGGGGGGGGGGGGGGGGGGGGGGGGGGGGGGGGGGGGGGGGGGGGGGGGGGGG